GCTTTCTTTTGTGTAGAAGCTTCATTCTCTATCCAATGTTTGTCAAGCTCTTTGTCTTGGAATAATTAAGTAATCCATGTTTACTTCGCTGAAGTACACGATAGGTCATTTCGTGGAAGTACCTTCCTCTGCATCTCACTGAAGCTGCTCTTAAACTGAGTCTGTGTTTCCAGACCTCACTGGCTGCCAGAGAAGAGAAGAAAACCCCCAAAGTCTCCTTGTGGAACAAGGAAATGTTGCCAGGGGGTCGGGCATTCACCCTGAGTTACCTGTGAAAGGGGGACAACCCCGCAGGTAATTAAGCTCTGAGCTCTATTTGTACAAGTGCAGTGAGGACCTCAGGGCTGGTGACTGAATTGTTAGCTGTCAGTTTCAGCTCCCCGAGCTTTTACACGTCACTTAGCCGGGGCAGGAGTAAGACAGTTAGGTGACCCAAGAGAGCAAATCACTGGAAATGTTTATAAATCTTTCTACACATGGGCTGAAGAGAGGAAAGCAAAGAAGGCTTTGGACCCTTAAACAGGAAAGGACCTGACCAGACCCCCAACCAGAAATCCAAGCATGGAAGAAGGCAGTGAGGCCTACTGATCAAGGACTTAAGTGTGTGGGTCGATCACTCACTTAGCATTCAATTCCCAGCTTGCCCTTTCCCTAGAGTGTACCTACTTAGTTTCTCTGGATTCAGTTTTCTCATCTGTAAAATGGGAATTATCATACTTATGGAAATGTTGCATCCAGTGCAACAAGGGAATGTGAAAACACCTAGGTAGTACCTGCTGTGTGGAGACACTTTAACAAGTGGTGGTGGCATCAGTACTTGAGGGGGAGAACTGGAGAGTTGTGACCCGAAGAATCTGCTGGACCATAGAGAAGTCAGTGCTTCTGTGGATCTGGGATTAGAAATCTCCAATGGACCTGTCCTGATTCCAGCCTGGTGGTAGATGTTTTCCAGCCCAGGGTCCCGGTGATGTGGGGATCGTGCTAGCTGGAGATATACAATGAAATCAAACCACTGACAATAACAAGTGGTGGAGTTGCCCGGCTTTGCCTGCTCTGAGTCTGGTCCTTCAAATCAACCACCCCTGCCCCACTCCAAACATCAATTAGTCCATAAAAAAGGAGCTATAAACACTAGGGGTTGCCCCACTTCCTTCCTGGCAAAGATTTCACTCAGATCTTATCTCTGCCCCGTTCCAAACTCAGCCCTGAGACTCTGATCTTGGCTCTGTCTTGATCTTTTGAACTTGTACTGGCTCCTCACACTAGTGGACCCCAGAGTTCCCTATAACACCCTGGCCTGGCAGCCTTTTCTACTTCTGGAAGCTGCCCCTGACTTTGGCCCCTTGGCCAACACCCTTGCTGGGCTGCTGGTCTCCTCCTTCCCCGTAAGACAGGTGGTCAGGCAGGATGTGCTAACTGCTGAGTCCCAGACAGAAAGTATTTCAAGAGTTCGGAGGAAAGGGAAGTCTCTAGGGACCTTGTGAAGAAGAGTGGGGTCTGATCCTTCACATCAGAGTAGGAACAGAGAGTCTTGCTTGGTTTTATGTCCTAGTGCAGAGACTGGCAAATTATGGCTCTAGAGCCAGATCTAGCCTACTAGCTGTTTTGGTAAATAATGTGTTTTTGAAAGACAGACAAAGTCAGCCCTTTATGTGTTGTCTCTGGCCACTTCTTGTGCTACAGTAGCAGAACTGAGTGGTTGTGACAGAGGCTAACTGCCTACAAAGTCTAAAATTTTTACTAGTTGGCCTTTGCTAAAAAACAAAATTCAACTGAGTAAATGTTAAAGATTTTCTTGGCTTTATTCAACAATTCATGAGTTAGGTAGCATCCTATCCAGCAAATAGAAAGGCGCTCCAAGAAACTGTACAAAAATGCCGGACTTTTTTAGGCAAAAGGGAGAGGGACAGGTAAGTCATAACAGCAAAAAGTGAACCTGCTGTGACAAGGCCATTTTCCTTCAGGGGACGGCAGGGATCCAGCAGACAGATACCTTCACTATTTCTGAGCAGGTCATTCCTGATTGACTGGTTTAAGATTCCATTTCTGGGAGAGGCCGGAACCCTAATTAGGTCTCTTTTTGGTGATGTGGGGCTTAGCATAAGTGACTCCATTTTGGGCCTGAGTTTTGTTTTTAGCACACTTTACTTTTTTTTTTTTTTTTTTTTTGAGAATGTTGAGAACAACGTTATTTATAATAACCGGAAACAATACAAATGTCCATCAATAAGTGAATGGATAGTCCAATTCAGGTATATGCATACATTTAAATATTCTTCAGTAATGAAAAGGAATGAACTATTGGTACACACAACAACATGGATGAATTTCAAAAATATGTTGAGTAAAAGAAATAGGACACAAACAAATACATACTATATGAAGGCCAAGATAGGCAGAATGATAGAAATCTGATCAACAGCAGAAGGGAGAAGGGGTGTTGTTGGTCATTGTTGACTGTTAAGGAGACTGGGAGTGAGGGAAGTGTTATCTATCTATCTATCTATCTATCATCTATCTATCTATCTATCTATCATCATCTATCTATCTATCATCTATCTATCTATCATCTATCTATCTATCATCTATCTATCTATCTATCTATCATCTATCTATATTGAATTTATTGGGGTGACATTGGTTAATAAAATTATATAGCTTTCAGGTGTACAATTCTATAACACATCATCTGTATATGGTCATGTGTGTTCACCACCCCAAGTCAAGTCTCCTTCCATCACCATTTATTCCCCCTTTACCCTCGTCTTCCTCCCCCACCCCCCCTTTACCTCTGGTAATTAACATATTGTTTTCTGTGTCTATGAGTTTTTTATTTTTATTTTTTTTCTTAATCCCTTCACCTTTTACACCCAGCTCCACAACCCCCATCCCTTCTGACAGTTGTATAAAAAAGTTTTGCAGATCCTTGCTTTTGTGCATTAAGCTTCCCCCCAAAAGGGATCATCTGAGGAACCCAGCTTTGTAAGATCGCTTCACCAAAATGCAACAGTCCAAAATGCTGGGGAAACAGACATAATGTTCCCACCTCCTGGGACCATTCACAATGCACTTTAGTGTATTAAAACCTCTAAAAGATCCTATGCAGAAGAACCTGTTTATTGTTTAACCTTCACTTGCCAGACTTCTTTGATGTACCAAATCTACTTTTCCTCAGAATATCTCTTAACAATCCAGAGGAGCTAGATTTCTGTGAATGGCTAATAAATAATAATTAGATAAAATGATTTTATATAGCTGGTTCTCAGCCCATCCCTGCCTCTAATAAGCTGAACGACCTTGGCTGAATTACATATCTCTCAGGGCCTGCTTCCTCATTGGTTGAGTGGGATAACGTTCACTTTTCTATCTCTCCTAGAGGTTTTAAGCAGGTCACTGAGATAGCATGCGTGAAAATGGCCTGGAACAAGATGATTAGGTGTAATTGGTGTGGTCTTTTTATTAGTTTTGCTTTGGCATATTGTTAATAATGGTGACAATGGAGAACGCATTAGATCAAGGTCCCTAGTTAGCTTTTCTAGTCTTCACTCTGCTATTACTAACTGGGTTAACTGAGTGACTTTAAACAAGTTACTTCCTCCACAGGGCCTCAGTTAGCTCCCACTAGGCTGAGCCTTTTAGAGTGGTTAATCTCTGGGGTTCTGTTACCTCTGAAATTCGATGATTCCTGTTGGTTAGATGCATACAACTTCTCTACTTATCTAGAACAACGGGTCTCTCTCTCACAAACCAGGAACACAGCATCTCCTTGATTTTCTTGGGACAGTATCTGGGTTCAGATTCAGCTATGAGGAGGTATTGGTATAGGGTTTCTGGTGCTTCTGGCAGCTTAGGAGGCAGGACTGAGGCTTCCGGGAATGTCTACCCAACAATTGTCGACTCGATACCAGAGCCTTTCTTTCCCTTCTCTTCTATAACTCAAAGGCTTCTCTGCTGGGACATGAAGTTCGGGGAGCTGGTTAACAGATGTGGCAAAATAAAAAAGCTAAGGTAACTCCTGAAAAGACAGTGGGACCAAGGGCGTAGTGAAAGTCCTCCAATAGGCATGAGATGAACTGGTTATAAAGCTGAATCCACATAAAATTCCATCTGGACACCTTTTCTCTTATCTCCCCACCAACCATTTTCTAGCTCCAGCAACATCCTTGCTATCAAGGGTTTAGAAGCTGTTGAACAAAAGAAGATTTGTGAAGAAGGTCTGAACCTGCTGAAAAATACCCCACTCCTCCATGAATTTAGGAAAATCCCAGAAAATCTTGAAGGGGTCAAAAAGGCTACAGCGTGATGAGTGTGGGGCCAAATGGGGAGGGATGATTTGAGGACTGGCTCTCCTTTTGGCCTCTATGTGAAAACCACCAGGGGACTCCCAAATGAAGGGTCAGTCAGAGCATCTGTGTGACCAGGGTCCCCAGAGGTCACTGAGCCCATGCTCTTCCAGTCAAGCCATTCAGTCACAAATAGTATTTATGGGGGGCCCTACTGAATTGAAAGTTCTCTGGGGACATAGTGAGATAAAACACAATTACTGCCCTAAAGGAGCTTAGAATCTACTTGAGAAGACAAGACTAGAATGCATGGATATCATTCAATGTGTGCAGCAGGCTGCATGCTAGCAGATGTCAGAAAAGAGAGCAACTGGCACGGGTTAGAAGTGATGGTTGAAAATTTGTAATTCCTCACACTGATTGGAAGCCTCTTACATTTTCAAACCTCCAGGAATGGAAATTTCGCACTCTTCCTAGGTGACCTCCACCATTGTTTAATAAACCCTTCCTTGAAGCTTTCTTTGAGTCATACTGTCATCTTTGACTGTGGCCAATTCTTGACCTTTGTAGTCCAAGGATGGTCAGCCTTTGTTTCCCCCAGTGGAATCCCAGCTCCAGTAGCTTCCTTTTGTACAGGAGGAGGAAGGATGAGAAGGGTCATGGTGTTTGGTCCTGGTTCTCCTTCCATAGTGACCAAACGGCTTATTCTTCCACTTCTCAGGGTCCAGGGTCCCTCTCTGGGACAGTCATGGTGGCATGGGAAGGAGGAGAGCCATCCTGGAGTATCTTCCTCTCCACGTGGGGCCGCTGGTCTGGCGGGAGGCTCAGCTCCAGGAAATGTGTCATCTGAATCAAGATGACTCCTGCTGCCTTTTCTGTCTCCTGAGCTGCACAGACAGAGCACGCTGTGAGGATACCGGGCACTGAATTTGATTCCCCAAGAACCACCGCCACCCAACACAGGCCTTCAGTCCTGACACAGAATTGCAACTGAGCCTTTAGATTGTCAAGGATTGGGTCTGAGAATCTTACCTTCCTCCACTCCCCAAAATCTCACCTTTTCTTCACCAGATTTGAACACCATGGAGTTTAAACTCACTTTAGGAGTATTTAAACCAGGACATGTTGCTGTAAGGGACTTTCAGGGGAATCACGCAGAGGGTGCAAATGTAGTTTGGTCCCGCATCTGGGCCCTGCGCTCCTGCTATCTGCTTCTGAGGTTGCTCATATGGTTCATACTTTTATGGTTAACATAGGTCTTGCCATCTTCAGAAGAGCTTCTCCTTAAGCTCTGGGAGACCACTGAGACATAAGTTCAGAGATGATTTTCCCATTTGATAAAGAAACCAAGGCCAAGAATGGTTAAATGGCTCAGACTAGAATTTAGCATTTCTATATCTAGACATCCTGGCATCAACTCTGACCCCACCCAGTCCTGAGAGTGTCAGATGGGAGCAAGCACACCCTCCCTCAGCCTTGGGGCTACTTTAACTCAACTCACAAGTCCTCTTCCTCCGCAGCTTCCTTTGCAATAGAACAAGAGCCACAAACACAAGTGGGAACAGCACCGTGGAGACAGAAGTTAGGATCCAAGAGATGTTTTTCTCTTTTGGAGAAGCGCTGGAGCACAAGCAGCAGGGGTAGGAAAGGGAAGACACCAGGGAGGGGAGGTTGGAGCTGAGTAAGAGACTGTAGACCATTGGGCCCTCGCCCCTCATTTTACAGGTGAGAAGCTGAGGCCAAGGGGAGTTGGCTGGCCTCATTCCCACGGTGGGTTAGTAGCAGAACTGAGACTGGAAGCCCTGTCCTCAGGTTCCCGAGCCCTGACCCCTTTTTCAACTCCCGACCTGTGCATGGGCCCCACTGCTGAGCTACAGGAGGAAAGAGAATTGGGTGAGATTCAGGGAATCCACCCCTGGCATTTGGCTCTGCCACAGTCTTTCCTTGTGGCTTCAGCCAGTTACTTCCCCTCTCTGGAGCTTTTGTTCCTCATCTTTTAAAAAAAAAGTCCCAAAGGTTCCATTGTTTAGATTTTGGCTTGCAAACCACATGAAAATGCTCTGGTTCTCCTAGCATGGACCTCGAAGGAGAGAGGGTGGCTGGTTTTGTGCCCTTTCCCTTTACCGTCTGGTGGTTACAAAAGGAGAGAAGTGAGTGGATGGAGGGGCACAGAGGTTCAGTTCATTGAGGGGTGTGCTGGGGGCAAGGGCAGAGGGGGAGCCCCAACCGACAGGAGGGCCTGGGGGTTTACCTCTTCATGGAGGACCCCTTGCCCTTGGGTCCTGCTACTAGGTCCTGGCTTGGTGTTATTCGGGGACCACTGTCTTCAACAGGGATGTCTAAGTCCCCTTCAGTGCTTCCTTCAGCAGATGACATCTCTATGCTGGTGGGCTCCAAGGTCCACACAGCTGCAGATCCTTCAGTGGAGTCCAGGGTGTGTGGCTTAGAAATCAATCTTGCTTCTTGGAGGGTTTCCCACACCCATTTTTCTGAGGCCAGGGTTGATGGTCTGCTGGTCCCTATAACCACCCAGTCTGCATTCAGGACTGTTCTGACCCTTTCTGCTTCCTCTCTCGGCTTATCAGCCTCAGTGGTTGTCTCTCTCCCTGCCTCGCTGGCCCTAGCTCTGTTTGCTGCTGAGCTTCTGGTGCCCCACAGCCAAGCACGCTCTGTTGTGCCAGACATGCCACTGATTGCTGACACCAGACTCCCTGGAGTAGGGATGGTAGCCCGGACGGAACTCTCTACCTGGCTACCTGTCCCTGCAGCTACAACCCCAGGGATTCCTGGGGTCTGCATTCCCTTAGCTGAAGCTGTCCTTTTGCTGGTTCCTGGAGTCAGAGCAACTCTGCCCCATCCTGTCCCCTGTCTCTCTATAGTCTGAGTGGTGCCTGGGGTCCAAGTGTTGGCCTCTGGAGAGGCTGTTTCAAAGGATCTCCTGAAGAGCTCACTGGCAGCTGGCGTGGCGCTGGTGCTGGAGCTGGTGCTGGGATGACCTGTGTGGAGAGCAGAGGGAAACATGGGAAGGCTATCCTGAGGCCTGCAGGGTTTAGCAAAGGATGCCAGGCTGAAAGGATTGGCTACCTGGAATACAACCTTATTAAGTGATGCAGTCTTCGGCCAATCTGTTGAACAAAATAAAAATTTGGGAAAACTAGATGTATTCTCTATTCTGTGGCAAATACTGACATATTATGGTCCCATCTCCCTTTTTATGCCCACATATTCTCTGTCCAAGCTATCTGGGGCCCACGTGCTGCTCCTTTTCCCAGAGGCCCACAGCCCCTCATGTACTGTTGTCAAATAAGAAAAAAAACCCGGTCCCAGCAGAGCAGCCAGTCTCAGCGGGTGGCTAGATAACAAGCGACATCTCATAAAACAAATCCACCCTCAGCACTTGTGGCTGCCTGCTCCCTGACATGCCATCTGCCCTGTAGACTGCCTGGCACAGCCTTCCTCAGACCCTGGGTGCCTGGCTCTGGGTCAAGTCTCGGGAACCTGCCCCACAGGGCCTGGGCCTGGTAGCTGTCAGGTGTCTGCTGAGGGCTCAGCCTTAGGAAGAGCCCAGTCCCAGTTCTCCTGTCCTGGCCACCCCTGGGAGCAGCCAAGTCATCCAATTCCCAACTTCTTGGAGTTCTCTCTAAATGTACAGGCCACACACTGGGGGGAAATGGGTGGAGAGCTGACGTGCATTCAGTTGGGAAGCTCTCCCTAATATCCGCCTTCCTTCTGAAGGCATTTTCCTTGGACGTGAAAGCCTTCGTGAAGCCCTTGCCTCGCCCAGCTTTTCCTCATCACACCCCTGGCGGCTGAGGTCCTTCACCCCCCTTGAGTCACTGGCTGCCAGCCCATACCTGCAGAGACGGTCAGGTCCACGCTGACAAACAGCATGTTGTTTCCATTTCCGATGCCACAGCGGTAGGACCCCGCATCTTCCGGGGACAGCTGGGACAGCCTCACCACAAACAAGCCACTGTGCGGGAAGTCTGCGACAGCCACCCGGCCACTGTAGCGAAGGTGGGTGTAGTGGTTGGTGGACACGATGGTGTGGCAGAGCCACGTCAGGGTGCTCAGGCGGCACCAGTACTTCCTCTGGTGCCTGTTGATGGACGAGGGGGTGTAATGGCACTGGATGGTGACAGCTTTCCCAGGCTCCCCGGACACCCGCCTCGGACACTTCAATGCATTGGCAGCTGCAGGCAGAGGGGAAAAAAAGTCTAAGGAAAGGGAGTGTTGAGTCTAATCACTGTGGGGAGTTAACAAGCTCCACACTCTTTCAGACTTAGGGGGCAGGTGAGAAAAATGCCTCCTTAAAAGGGAGGCCAGAAGAATCAATATAGAAATGTCAGAACTTAGCCCCTGGGTAAGGAGTAGTCTCAAGACATGGAAGGAAGCTACATCCAAGGCCCCATCTGAGAGGCAGGCAAGCAAGAATCATCGAGAATCTCCTTAGCCATGATTTAGCTGACACCCGTCACCTGCCAGGTGTTCACACAGAAGTCTCTCCTGAGCCTGGGTTCCCTTCGCTGTGCTCCGATGCAGGTGTTTAAAAAGCTGCCATCTAAGCATGCATAAGAGGCTTGAGGTGCCACCTGGTAAGAGGGCTGCAGTTTATTTGCATGAAATGTAAAGAGATACATTAAATAGTGAGAACAGACCAGTGTGCTTTCTGCTGAAAGGGGCTGGGCAGGGTGTGGGGTGAAAGACAAGAATCTTGGTCTGAATGGTTGGTATATCCCCAGACCAGTGGTCACAAAAATCTTCACGCTGCCCACATTTTTGTAGAAATGGACACAACCAAGTGCCACCGTCAAAGCCCGAAAGAGCAGTATTGTAACTACATCCGCTTTGGCAATAGGCATAAACAAGGGTTGAACTACAGTACGTGGCCTGTTTACTGAATGACTTAAATTTGATCAGTACAAGCAGAAACAAAGTTTATTCTTCCTCTCACTGCCTCTTAGTACTCCCTCTGTGGACTTTGTTGCTCCTTGACAAAATCCCAGGCATACTTGCATGCATAGTAGCTCTCAGCCTCACCTAGATAAGAAAAGTCCAGTCTAGACGGTTGCACATATAAAACTATACAGCCAGTCCAGTGCAATGTCTGTTTCCATCTCCAACCTCTTACCCAACTGAAGCTTTTTCCTTTCTCTCAGTTAGGTTTGGAGACCTGCGTGGAGGGAGGAGACATTTTGGCATCTCTTACTTTGCTCTACCCCTTCCTATAAGCCAAGCTCCTGTTTTAGGCCCTTCTGGGATTGAATATAAAGGAGAGAGAAGAGAGGTGAGAGGGACAGTGGCGATCTGCTCTGGTTCCCTCTGTGCATGCAGATGGCCAGAGCTGCATCCTTCGCTGTTGCCTCTCAGATCTTTCAGTGGCCTCAGGCGGCAGTTCCCTCCCTGCCTCTCCTGCTGGCTTCATGTGACCCCACCACCACCAAGCTGTGACTCCTGGCCACCTGTTGCATTTTGTGGTCATAGTCCCCTCTGGGTGGCCCTCTTGGTGGAGACCCCAAGCAGGGTCTTTTCCGTGGGTCCCACATTTGATCACAGGACACACGCCTGTCCTGCTGTCAGAAGAAACTTGGACCCATGGCAAGCTTGTTGGGTGGCTTTCTAGACATTCCTTCTCACTTGGCTTAAAGTGGCTCCCACAGCAAGCTCTTCTACTTCAGATGGTTTCATGGTGGGCTATTGTGGGAACAGCCAGCTTTGCAATCTCTCTCCACAGTCCTGCACATCTATCAGCTTATTCCATGTCTTTAGTGCCTTTGAACCCAAGAAAGGAGAGAGAAGAGAGGTGAGAGGGACAGGGTTCAGTTTAATATTCTGCTGCCAGGACTGGCTGTATCATTTGCAGGGCCCATTGCAAAATGAAAATATAAGACCCTTTGTTCAGAAATCGCAGGGCCCCATGTGACTGCACAGGACCTGCCCATGAAGCAGGCCCTGTCTGTTGCATATGTCTTGAGGTCTAATTATAGGAAGAGCTGAAGTCATAAATGCTGTGGATGTATCAATATTCAGTGTAGGTTTAACTAACTGACACACCACCAGCTATCAACTATGCCACTATTAATAAAATTAAATGGCAATTTATCATTAAAAGGTAATACTGTTCACAATTTAAAAACAAGGACCTTCTCAAGACAACAGTGATGGGGCCCTGATAAAGTGCTCCTACCCCAGAGTTCAGGAACTCTCGTGATTGACACGTGGCCCGTGCAAGAGGAGCTCTGCCTGTTAATCAGCAGGATAGAGGCAGTCTGACTTCCCAGTAGAGGGTTGATTAAGAATCCTTAATCAGCTTGGCAATGCACATTTTTCTTTGTTAACTCCGGATTTGACTGACCCTTAACTCTTTTGGTGGATTATTGATCAGTAGCTCTTAGTTATATATAATTAAGGTATTTGGAATTTTTTATTAGTCACCTGTCTAAATTTAAAAAAGGGCTAGTGTTTCAGTATCAATGGGGTGCCCACTTGGGGTCCCTGATGCAAATTCTCTGCCCTTCAGTGGAAGAGGTGTTGCCGCTCTCCTTTGCCCACCATTTCCCAGCAGCCGTCCATAGCTCTGGCTTCTATCAGAAAGGGTGAGAGAGGCCTGCATTTGGAGGGAGGCCATGGACTGAGCCTGACTTGGCCTGAGAAGATACAAGAGTTCTATGGGGTTGTACCTGCAATGGGTCTCTCCTTTTACAAACAAAGGGGTGAGAAAGGTGTAAATGTTTTCTTGACCCAGAGGAAGGGACTGGAGGGAACAGAGCCAGCCCACAACCATCTAAGTGGGGTCTTCTATGTGGAGGGGCCAAAGCAGAGCCTGGGCACTGGGAGGAGATTGGCCATCAGGGTGCCATGTCAGGGTCCACAGAGGCACCTACAAGAGGAAGAACCAGCTCTAATCTCCTGCTAGGCCAGAGAGCTCCAGGCCATCCCATCACTGGAGCTGCCTGCCTCTGCCTCCCCTCCTGCCTGCAGCTGTGACCCTACTGGGGTCCAAATGCCAGCTGTCAAGATAGGGGGAATGAGGGGGAGGAAAAGAGAGAAGGCGGCCGCCACAGCCCCCTGCCTGTCTTCCTGACTGCCGGCCTTGGGTGCGTGAGGAGGCCTACCTCTGAATGAAGATTAAAGTGCTGACCGATACATTTAGCCAGACACTTACAATTATTACATTGAGCTTGTTTGAAACTTAAAGGAATTAAGTTAGGACTGTTATCTATATGTTAGCAGAAAAACCATGGGCTGCCTGAGTTTTCATCTGGGGGCATGGGGAGTCCATTCCTACTAAAAAAATGTAAAGGGGGCAGTGAGAGATTAAAGAGATGATGTGATTTATCAGATAATTCTTGCTCAAATATTAGCCACCTTTGATTCATTAAAATTTTGATTTGTTTATAAGCCAAAAACAGTTGTTAATTTTTTTGGTATTAGCATGACATTTTAATTCATTCATTCATTCATTCAACAATTATTTGCTAATAATTATTTGTTAGGTATCTACTGGGACTAGGTGCTAGGCACCAGACACTCTAGGCACTTACTACATTTTTTAATGGCTCCTCACTACCATCAAAATAAAATCCAGATGCCACAGGGCCATTTGTCATCTGAGCCTGATATATACCTGGCCAACCTCATCTCACCACATGGCCAGGACCTTTAGGGCAGGGACCCTGTCTTCTACCCATCTGTCCCTAATACCTGGCACATGGTAGGCCCTCCATAAATATATGCTGACTAAATAGGTATATGCATAGATATTTTTATTTATCCACCTAGTTTCTTTGTAAACTCTGAACTCTTTTAGAGTTGGACAGGGTCTTCATCTTTATGTCTCTTGCACTGGGTCTGGCCTTTGAGTGACTTTAGAGTATGTGGTCGTGGAGCAGTGACAGTCTTCTCTGCATACCCTGGAGCCTTGATCTTGTAAAAACAGCCAACTTTCAGTCTTTAACTTGAATGGAAGAGAGCAGAGAACAGGGAACATCAGAACAGTGAGTATTCTGGAAATCATCAAGTCAGGAATGTACCTTCTCCTGTGAGCTCTTGGTTTCCTCATTCCCCCTGGGCCCAGATCTGACCACTCCCTGGATCCATTGCATGGCCTTGGGTCCCAAGAGAGAAAGCCATGGCTGTGCCCGAACTGCCCAGGGAGCACTGAATGCCACCAAGGTGCCTGCCGGGAGTCTCTGCAGCCTGGAAGGCTTGGGTCTGGTTTTGCAAGCTCTGCCTCTGGGCTGTTTGGACTCACCTTGCAGCAGGCACAGTATGAGGATAACGTGCATTTCCCATCCTGCCTTCTGGTTGGCAACCTGCAAAAAAAACACATTGTAAATGAAGAATCCTGAGCAGGAAGCAAGAGGGAAGCTGGGGTGAGCAGCAGTGGGGCCTGGGGTGAGCACCTTCTTGCTTTGGAGCCTTGGTCTGCTCAGTGCTGGGGCTGGATCGGCTACCTCTAAGAGCAAGACAGGGACTGCCCTCTTGGAGAGAAGCATCTTCACACCCCCAAGCATATGCGTTTGGTCTGGGTTACTGCCACCACAGCTAAAATGTCCCCTACTTGGCAGTTTCTGTGTTCAGATGAGGCGAAAGGCCCTCTGTGGGATTCCAGCCTCCGTACTCACTTGCCAGGGGGACCCCTGAGTTTGGGGAGCCCTGAGTTTGGGAAGCGTCGTGCAGGGGAAAGATCACATGTTGGAAGTTTAAACCTTGGCTGGCACAGAGGGACCTGGGAAAGGTTACTCTGTGTCAGGGATCAGTCTCTCCAGGGAGAGAGAGGGTCCATATGGGGTTGTTACATAGCACCAATGAGACTGCGCTGAAGTGCCCACAGTGTGCCTGGTACGGAGCAGCTCCCTTCCCTCTCTCCCTTCCCTCTCTCCTCTCCCCTTCTTTTTCATAGGAGAATAGGTTCCTCAAGGGAAGCATTTGGCTCCACCGGTAGCATGCTTCTGGTCAGTAACAAGAAGTTCAAAATTAACTCTCAGCCCAAGTATTGTCTGTGCTAGGCTCCTGTACTGTCTTCTCTGCAGTTTCTAGAAAGCTCTCCCGCCCCCCAGTTCTGGTGTCTTCCACTGGCCCGGGAGCTCCTTGCAGACAGGACTGTGTGTCATCTGGCCACCACCAGGCTCTGAAGCAGGATCCAGCACAGTGTGGGTGGCCCACGTGCAGCTACTGCGAACAAGACCCAACCACTCTTAATAGACACCACACTGACCACGTCAGTGGTCTCTCACTGCCTGCTCATTCAAAAGACAGAGAGTGTTCATGATACCTCTTTTGTATTCTCTGTAGGGTTTTCATGGATGCTTTTTAATTGATTAAAAATCTGTTCTTTCAATCTGTCTACTGACTGCAGTTCCTGGAACCTACAGTTAAAAAATAAGGCAAGCTGCCCTGGCCGGGTGGCTGGGTTGGTTGGAATGTCGCCTCGTATACTGAAAGGCTGTGGGTTTCATTCCCAGTCAGGCACATGCCTGGGTTTCGGGTTCAATCCCAGTCAGAGCACTTACGGAAGGAAGGCAGCCAATCGAGGTTCTCTCTCACCTCTCTCTCCCTCTCTCCCTTTCTCCCTCTCTCCCTCCTTCTTTCCCTTCCCCTCTCTCTCTGGAATCAATGAGCATATCCTTGGGTGAGGCTTTAAAAAAAAGGCAAACTAAAGAGCCATTGTTTTCTCCTTCCTGCTTTAAGACATACCACGCTGATGTTAAGAACAGGTGCTGCAAGTCCGAGGTCTGGCCTTTGGGCAGGAGCCCTGGGCCACCTTCCCCAACTGAGTCACTGAGCCACACAAGGTCACTGGCCAGCCTGGGACATAGGATATAAGAGGAGAAAAGGGAATGGGAGACAGGAAGAAAGTCAGAGAAAGTAAGAGTGGAGGAGAGGAAAGGAAGGGTGGGAGTTGAAAAAGAAAGGAAGGGAAGAGAGGAGGGCACAAGAGAAAAGTAGAATCCATGGGTTTGCCCAATAGCTGCAAATTGTCACCACAGCTCGGCTCTGTCCAGCGACCTCCACCAAAGCCTTTGCCTGCTTTATCCAGGTAGAGCCCAGAAAGTGGTCAGATTTGGAGAAGTCCAGGGGCTCCTCATGCCCCATTCTGTGCCCTCCTCTCAGCAGCAACCCTGTCTTGGGCACTGCCATGGCAGCCTTGGGCCTTCCCTGCCACCCAGAGCTTCTGGCTTCCTGCCCTCACCTGGAGGCTCTGCCAGGTGTGCCTGCACCTAGTCCATTGTTTGATTAATATTCACCAAGTTCAGGATAATTCTGAGGCTGGCACCCAGGCCCTGGGGCTAGTTTTCCTAAATTGCTAAGTGCTGACACAGCTCCCTTGGGGCCAATTTCCTCTGAGGTGCAGCAGGGGCAGCCCTCTCTTTGCCTTAGAGGGGCAATGAGGAAGCACAGAGCGTGAGATAAAATGTCCCCAGGGTTATCAGCCTTGATTGAGGCTGCAGGATAGTGCCAAGCACAAGGTCTCCAAGTCTTGACCCTGCCAATGACCTTCAGGGAACCTCTCTCCAAGAGGCAGGGAGCCCCTGCTCAGCAGCCCAGGCCACAGGCCTATGACAGTGCACAGCATTTTAGGGGGTGAGGGCCAAGTTCAGGGCCTCTCTGTCCCTCGGTCCTGTTGAGAAGAGCATCTACCTCAACTTCCGCACAGGCTGGTGTGTGACTCCCCAAATCCAGCTGCTTCCCTGAGCCCCACTTCTCTCCTACGCTGCCAGCCCTGGGGCAGCAAACAAGAGAAAGGAGGGAGCCAGTGAGGTGCAGAAGCTGGATTAAGGAGGTCCCGCCTTGCCTGTGGCTGGCGGAATGGCCTCGAGCAATGTGTCTGTCATGGTCTCCGAGTCTCCTTCGCTTTCTGGCATTTGTTGGCTCTAAATTACACAGGGGCCTCTAAGGAATCATGCACTCTGGTGGGAGGGAGGGAGCAGAAAAGGAGGGAGGCTGGAGGAAGATGCTGCGCCCTGAACTCCGGAGTCTCCCCTGGCCTCCTGGAGGGAGCCCAGTGGCTCTGGGACAAGCACCTGGGGGCCCCCTTACAGCTGCTGCTGCAGCTCACCACCCACATTCGGGGACAAGACCCCACCTCTGGGGTCCCCATCTCACCTTTGGTTCTCCAGGGTTAGCTGGGGCCTCTTCATCCATCTCAGCCTAGAAATCAAGTCCACTTGGACTGTCCTTTCTCTCTCTGAGATGCTGGCAGTTGACGTCCTCTAGTTTCCCCTCTTTAAGGCTGCAGACTGAGGAGGCAGCCTGGGCTGGGAAGCAGCTGGGGGCAGCTCTAACGATGGGGGTGCCAGCAGCTCTGCATGCACCTCCCACCACCTGCACGGAATCACTTCGCCCCTGGGTCTCGGTTTATTTCATATAGAGGGAGCCAGTCTTGGTCCCTTGTTCTCACTGTCACTGATTCCTGCAGGACTTTCCCTGGAGCGGTGACAGTCGTTTCAAAGAGAATACACTGGTCTACATTCTTGCACCTCTCGTCGCCCCTCCAACCCAGGGTCGAGACTTTTCAGGATGCTCTGGCTTAGCCAGCCCACTCAGGTCTCTCCCGGACAAGTGACGCAACACCCGGGAAGGAGAGAAAATTCAGGAGAGGAAATCCCCTGCTGACAGGTGGGCAGCTGGTGCCTTCCAGCTGCCCTGGCCCCTCGGCCCCCATGGAGAGGTGGTTTGGGTCACTGACTGCAGGTCAGCTGCTCGCTTGGTTGATTCATGCCCTGGACAAAGGCTCACACAGGAACGAGATGACCCCTGTGGAAAGAGAACACTAAGTGTGGCTTGTCCAGCTGGATGACACACTTAGAAAACCCCCCAATATTTCCCTTTGGAAATATTTCATGGGTGGGTTTTTTCCTAGTAAAAGATGTGATCTGCTTACATCTGCTGGTTTTAAACTGGCCTTCAAATGGCCGGCCCTCAACAGCTCAGGGGCTCCAGGGGATGGAGGGGCTGTAGACTGTAGTTAAGGACTCTCGCCAGGACCCCGGTGGGCAATGTAGCAGCCTTGGGCCAATTAGAAAAGACCCTTCTGCCTTAAGAAAATCACTTCAGTTGGCACATTGCTGCACAGTTTGAGTCACCACGGTGGTGGCACGTGTTCTCAATGCACTTCCTCACCTAGGTGGAAAGATGGTTGGGGTGGGACTTGAGGCACTGAAAGCAAAAAGTGAGGAAAAGGAACGACTGCCCAGGATGGCTGGGCTGGGACAAGGTGGTCTCGTGCGTGTGAGTGTGCCCATGACTGTGCATGGGTGTGTGGTGGTGCCCCAGGGCTCGGCCAGAAGCATCAGTCCTGGAGCTCAGCATCTTCACAAACACCGACAGCCTCCCATAGAGGTTAGGCCACATCTGCACTGTGAGTGGCACCCCCTGAGTGGTGGCATGCTTGAGCAGTGCGTGCAGGACCAGAGGAACCGCCCACGGTGGCCCTGATGTCAGAGGTCAGAGGTCAGAGGTCAGAGGCTATCCCTAGAAGTGAATGACCCTGTGCAGGGGGGAGAAAGGGTTAATGCCTGGCAAGATTCACCCCTCCCAGCTCCTCAGGGAGCAGCACAGCATTTCGGTTGATCGATCGGTTGATCACTAGACTTTGGAGTCAGACTCCGTCCAAGTTAATGTCCCAGCCCTTGTTTTTCCTGAGAAACTGATATGGGTCAGATTATTTACCCTCCCTAAACCTTGTTTTTCTAATCTGTAAGACAAGAGCTAATAGCACCTACCTCATAAAGTTATTATTTGGATAAAGCGTGATAATCAGAAAACATTAGCTGATAATAGTAACAGCTCAGTTTTCAGTAGCAGGGAACTGGTATCTTGTAATGACCAAACCTTAAAAAAAAAAATTCAAAAAGTCCTTTTGAAGGTTTTCATCTCTTCAGAAGTCTGCTACTTTCTTGTATTTCCTTTTTTGTTGTTGGTTTTTGCTATGCCATCATTTTGGCATTTGAAAGATTTAAAAAAATTAATTTGAGACATGTCTGAATTGATTTTGTATTTTAAAATAAGTAGTTATCAAATTTTTATTACTTTATAAACAAGACAGTCATTTTACATCCTTAAGCCTGCCTTTTCTATTTTGTTGGCTTTGGCACACTTTGAAGACTTTTTGGTTACTGAAGACATGAATTATAGTCCAGACCAGTTTAGTTGCAAAGGCCTGGGCCAGTTTTCAGAGTTCTGTCCCAAAGCCTATACTCCCCTCTCTGGAGCTTTAAGCGGGGAACACTCTGCACTAGGGGTATAGCTGAATTCTCTTGACTAGCACAAAGCCACAGGTGGCCTCTGCATAGGCTCATGACACTGAGATCCTCTGATTTCAGGTCCCAGATTCCAGAGAAAGGCTAAATAATCCTTAGACCAAACGTCAGATTTGGAAAGAGCTTTATCCACTCCCCGTCTCCCACCTCATCCCAGTTTTTAGCAAAGGATTTTGTTTGCTAAATAGATACACAAGAGTAAAAATCAGCAAGCAGAAAGCTAATCAATGCAAGGAAAGCCATCTGTGCTAGAGAACAATCTATATTGATCTCTTCCCATTCCAAAAACATGTTTTCTGATGAATAATTAAGAATAATATACAGAGATGTTTTATGCATCCACGTGGCTGGCACTCAAGGCTACATTCCTCCTTATAGATCATTGCAAAGTGTTCTGCTTCCTCTACCCACCTAGGTGAGCTCTTCTCTATCCCTGTTATTTGCGGGAGAGACACATCCCTCCTCTCCATTCCTCACCAAGGCTCTGGTAGGGATACTAAGTGCTGAAGAAAGCAATGTTTAAAAACACCTGGATTACCACAAGTCCTACACGTTCTTGATCATTTACTTAGAAACCCACAGAAGTACCTAACTGTACTTCTCCAAATGATAACAGAAGAAAGAATTTGTATAGCACAAATAATCATTTTAGAGTAGTCCCCCCGCTTATCTGCAATTTCACTTCCCAAGGCTCAGTCACCTGTAGTCAACCGTGGTCCAAAAATATTAATTGGAAAGTTCCAGAAAGAAACAATTCACGCATTTTAAATTGTGCACCATTCCGAGGAGTGCAATGAGATCTTGCCCTGTCCTGCTCTATCCCAGGTGAGAGGTGAATCACCCCTTTGTCCGGTGTCTCTGCACTGCAGACACCCCCTCTCTTAGTCACCTAGTAGCTGCTATCTTGGTTATTAAGTTGACTGTGGAGGTGTCAAAGTGCTTGCGTTCAGGTAAGCCTCATAGCAGCCTAATCCTAAATCGCATGGCTCCGTCACTCATCTCACTCTATCGCGTCACATAGGTACAGGGCATGTCACATCATGACAAAAACAAGAAGGGTGAGATTTTGAGAGAGAGAGACAAAGAGAGAGAGACACCACATTCACATAACTCTTACTAGAGTATATTGTTATAAATGTTCTATTTTATTATTAGTTATTGTTGTTAACCTCTCACTGTGCCTAATTTATAAATTCAGCTTTATCGTAAGTATGCATGTGTAGCAAAATGCATTATATATTTAGGGTTTGGTACTCTCCGTGGCTTCAAGTATCCACCGGGGGTCCTGGACCTGTATTCCCTTGTGGATAAGAGAAGACCGCTGAAGAATGACGTCTAGCGGGTCTGGCAACCTCCATCCTCGTGTGGCTGGTAGCAAAGACTGCAATCCGGCATCATTAACACCCCTCCAAGGACGAAGACATTCCAAAGGCAGGCAGGAGAGCACTGAGACGGTTTATGTTCAGTGCACACTGCCGGTGTACATGAACATAAACCCCTTCAGAGCAAACAGAATCCCAGAGCAAAGAATCCCAGGAGATCATTTCCTAGAACGTAGGAGGCTGTGGCCTAAGACCTCAGCTGTAACTCACCTCAGCGTGTTGGTACAATCGCCACAAGGAAACATGACCAATAGCTCATAGCACCATCTCCGTGGAGTGACTTGAGTCTGCGCGTTGAGATGAATATATTTCTTACTGATTGGGATTGTCTGCTTAGCATGCTGTTTGGAACAGTCATTATCCTCTGATAATAAATCATAAGCTCTTGCAAGATGGAAGGGGCCCCAAATGGCTAACTTGCCACCAAGAAGGCGGTTGGTTTCCCCGAGGAAAGGTAATATGTGGGGTATCTGTGTTCCTCTATTGCTGACAAGTTGGGTGTTCATCAGCAACACTGCTAAACCCAGCCTTGGTTAGGGGGAGCTGCGCTCCTCGTGGGAGCCCATGCACAGCCCCACCTCTCACTGTGGCTACTTCCCTCGTGTGTCCGCTGTGCCAGCACCGCAGTGGCCAAGGCCCGGAGTTGGTTGATGTCAGAGGGCCAAGTCATTCTGTCTGCTGGTAATTTAATGTCCCTTCTATGGTGTGTACCCTCTAGTGGGCATTAGCGTATAACACAAAGAGCTTCACACTTCCTGTCACTCACTCCCATGTTCATCCACGTGCCTCTAACCAGTTTCTCAGTCTTGCTCCATCCAGGCCTCTGTATGTATTCTAAAATCCGGCCATTTTTCCTTTCACACAAACTAGGTAACCAGGTGTACTGCCCAACGGTCTGCCCATCAAAAGGCCTTCCCTTTACCACTGTTTTTCAAGGTCACTCCTCGTAACACACCTACTGTTACTTTCAACTTGAACCCACGTATTGAACAGACTCATCTATAAACAGAGTTTGGGCTTTGCCTTCCTCTTCCATGTGGTTACAGGAGGCACCTGTGGCCCCTGTAAGGTGAGGGGCACGGGTGCAACAGTGGTGGCTGGTGTGAGGGGCTGGCCGCTTGCTGTGCCCTCAAGTCCTTCTTGTGCGTGGTCTCAGCTGTACCTCCAATTTATGACTAATTGCTGCTGGCCTCTCTGACCCTATGACTCAGGGGGTAAGAGCTCTCAGCTCATGCTGGACAGTTTTAGATGCCCACTCATCTGATGTCCTGTGTTCAGGTATCACATCTCTACCAGAGTTCAGTATCACGACAGGAGTTGTTTCTCAAAAGACACATGATTCTCCCCTGCAGATGGCATGGCCTTGCAAAAGAACCACGGGGTGCTATGTGACCAGGTTGTGATCTCCCACTGGGACTTGCCACAGTGCCACGTAGCATCTTCTCCCAACTCCCATGCCTGCAATGTGAAGTGACGGCTGCTTAGGTCTCAGCCTGGACCT